CGGGTTCTTTATTAACACTTCTATAATGTGCGTATTTGCATTTGCTTAACAATGGTGATGGTTTTATTGACCTTTAACATAAATGGTGGTGGGCGTTTTTCATGTTGTGTTGCTCCATTTTTTTTCTTTTTTTTTCTGTAGCAGAGTTACTTGTGGTTGGGTTTTTTTTTTTTTTTCATTTTACTTTGGCTAAGCCCACCCAACTTTCTTCCATTTGGGCTATGATGGATTAAATAGTTTTATCTTACTAAAATTATATAGGATGTGGCCAGAGGTGCACTCTTTTTCTTGCTCTTGCACTGCGGCCCTAATATTTCCTGGTCAGTTTGGTTCTGGACATTGTTGTAGAAATTATGGAAATCCACACTTATTTAATGACACCATTGATTGGCATAACCCTGTAGTAGAGCATCTGTTTGCAATAGGTTGAAATATGTCTTTATGGCCCATTAACCTTTTGCTGTGTGCATTTTTTGTTGCTTACACATGTTGCATTTGCCCATTATTTTTAGTCCTCAACATTCATCCACATGCCAGAAAAAAAGTTCCTTCATTGTTTTGTTTTTTTTTATTACTCCATCCCAACACATGTATTTTCACATATATGCATTTGGTATATTAATGGGTCAGGTGCACTGATTACTGCATGCATGTGCATTGGGGGCCAGTTAGGAATGAATAGCAAACACCCCAAAACACATATTGCAACGCTTGTCATTATGCATTAAATTGTGAATGCTCAGGTGTAAAGCCATCACAGAAGTGTATGTAAAACCAAAACATTTTTTGGGTTTTGAAGTCAAATGTTTCTGGTACAGAAAGTGATAGGGAATACTGTCACAGAAACTGAAAATAATGCAAAATGACCAATCTCTGGGACAGGATGCGAAGGTACACTGCATTTCCAAATGTGTCCCACCTGCCTTTACAAGCACATGAACTTTAATGGCATCCCAGTCTTAGTCCGTAGGGTTCAATATTGAGTTGGCCCCGCCCTTTGCAGCTATAACAGCTTCAACTCTTCTGGGATGGCTGTCCACAAGGTTTAGGAGTGTGTCTATGGGAATGTTTGACCATTCTTCCAGAAGCGCATTTGTGAGGTCAGACACTGATGTGGGATGAAAAGGCCGGGCTCTGTTTTGCTCTAATTCATCCCAAAGGTGTTTTATAGGGTTGAGATCCGGACTTTGTGCAGGCCAGTCAAGTTCCTCCCCCAAACTCGCTCATCCATGTCTTTTATGGACCTTGCTTTGCGCACTGGTGTGCAGTCATGTTAAAACAGGAAGGGGCCATCCCCAAACTGTTCCCACAAAATTGGGAGCATGAAATTGTCCAAAATGTTTTGGTATGCTGATGCCTTAAGAGTTCCCTACACTGAAACTAATGGGCCAAGCCCAACCCCTGAAAAACAACCGCACACCATAACCCCCCTCCACCAAACTTTACACTTGGCACAATGCAGCGAGGCAAGTAGGGTTCTCCTGGCAACTGTCAAACCCAGACATGTCCATCAGATTGCCAGACAGAGGAGCATGATTTGTCACTCCAGAGAGCTTGTGTACACTTCTCTAGAGTCCAATTGCGACGTGCTTTATACCACTGCATCCAACGCTTTGCATTGCACTTGGTGATGGAAGGTTTGGATGCAGCTGCTCGGCCATGGAAACCCATTCCATGAAGCTATCTGTTTTGCTAATCTGAAGGCCAAACAATGTTTGGAGGTCTTTAGTTATTGACTCTGCAGACAGTTGGTGACTTCTGCGCACTGTGCGCTTCAGCGTGCGCTGGCCCCGCGCTCTCATTTTATGGAGCCTACCACATCATGGCTGAGTTGCTGTTCCCAGTTGCTTCCACTTTGTTATAATACCACTAACAGTTGACTGTAGAATCTTTAGTAGCAAGGAAATTTCACGGATTGACTTGAACAGGTGGCAACCTATTGCAGTGCCATGCTTGAATTCCCAAAGCTCCTGAGAGCGATCCATTCTTTTTCGCAAATGTTTGTAGAAGCAGTCTGCATGCCTAGGTGCTTGATACTTGATATACACCTGTGGCCATGGAGGTGATTGGAACACTTGAATCCAATGATTTGGAGGGGTGTCCCAATACTTTTGGCAATATAGTGTATATCTCCTAGATGAACATTTAAAAAGATGGCAGGGTTTTTTTTTTATGGCTTTATGTACACTTTCTATAATCTTACCAGGTTTGTTCAGGCAGGTAGTGCAAGTAGCTCTCTGGTCACTCCTATAGATTTTTTTTTTTAGTATTGGACTTTGGTTTTAATTAACCCAGCATGAATTTGCTAGATCCTGTATACTGCTAATACAGTGGGTAGCATGATTATGTATACATTGTCTGCATGTATAGTAGTAATCTGTAACTACCATTTAATCTGTTGGTGAAATCTGCTTGGTGTTTGGGATGCTGCTTATGGTGTGTTTTATTTATTTCTTTTTCTTGTCTCGTTTCACAGATGCTAATGAGTGTGAGGGAAAACCCTGTTTTAATGCTTATTCTTGCAGAAATCTGATTGGTGGATATTACTGTGTCTGCATTCCAGGATGGACAGGAATTAACTGTCACATCAGTTAGTATTTAATGGTTCATTTGTAGCTAACTTTTCTATCCATTCATATATATGAAAAACCCACAATGTAAATGTTGTTTCTTAGCTGTCAACCAGTTTACAAATGTAATCTGTTTAATAATTAAAATGTGCAAAGAACTAAACTGATCTAATTTTTCATACTTTCGACAAGCCTGAAAGCCTTCCAGTCATTTTGGAACAAAGTCCCAATGTTCTTTGCAAGAGCATGCCTGGAACATAAAGTCCCTCAATGATTTGAAGGCTCTAGGGTCTTTCAGCCCTGTTACTTCCTCTCTGATATCTGTTTTTGTTTGTGTTTTTGGGAGGGGGAATTGTAGAACTATGCTATAAGAATATATTTTGTTTGTAGATATTAATGAATGCCGTGGCCAGTGTCAAAATGGAGGCATTTGCAAGGTGAGTTTTTCATCTCTTCTTGATGGCACACAACATTTAACACTTATTTGTGGCACACTACATTAATAAGTCCAACACTATGACGTCAAATTATTTGTGCCACAACACTAATAACTCCAGCAGAACTTTGTATAAGCTAAATACATTAGTTTCCTAAAAACAAAGATATTCAGTTTCTCTTTGGAAAGCAGCCACAGCCTGAGTAGAAAGGCCTGTCCCCTGCCAGCATGCTGCAGAGGACGACAAGGACTCTTGCTTTGACTGGTGCAGTTGTCTTTCTGTAAAGGTCCAACATACCTCCAACCAGAGTGAGTTGGAATTCTCCAGTCAGCAGAGAGCATTGACTTGACTGATTGCTGAGTTGTAAGTGCTAACGGAGGCATGTTGGATCTCTGTGGAAAAGCAACTGCTTTCTAAAAAGAGAACAAGGGTTCTTGTGTACAGCATGCTGGCAAAGAGCAGGCCTTTCTACTAAAGCTATGGCTGCTTTTCAAAGAAAACAGAATGTAGCCCTATGTATGTGCAAGATCTGGCTCATTAAAGACTTCCCCTTCACTTTTTTCCATAAACATGTACTTGCAAGCTTCTCTGTGCATTTGTTTCAATGGTTGGAGAGGATTGAGCAGGCCCATACCTCTGGCAGGGGCATAATCTAGCGGTCTGCCTCCCAATATCGAACATGGCTTACCGCTTCTTATCGTGAGAATAGATAGCCAGTGCTGCAATCTGCTGATACTTAAAGACTTCGCTTGTTCTGTTGGTCCAATGTTGCTGGACCTTTCTTGGTGATCATCTATCAAAACATTTGCACATTTTTGTGGTGGCCAATTATTTATCACAGTATGTTTTAAATGAAGAATAAACATCACTTAATGAGATCCTGCAGCATACAAATATGGATGCTGCTGTTTCCACCTTGTTTTTGCCGTCTCTGCGTCTTCATCCTTTTATTTTTGCTTGACTTTTGAATAAATGAGCTGCAACTCAACGACTGATTTGAGGTAGATAACTTACAAATTAGTTGAGTGAAGGATACAACTCTAAACCAAGTTGGCAATAGTGGCTTTTGTATTTCAGGCCTAGAAGGTTCCCATTACATTAGCAAGATTGGCATGGCTAATTGTGCTTGCAGCATAAATATTTACTTTTGTTAGCCTAATAAGATGGACTTTTGTTTTGAAGACAATATTTAGCATGCTCTTGTATTTATGCAAGTAGACAAGAGTGGTTATTTAGGTATGCTATTTTCCGCAGTGCTTTAATCATCAGGTGTTCACTTTTCAGTATTGTTTTCTGCATATCATTGGTGGGTGGAAGTAGTCACCTTGACTGGGGCTCTCTAATGTAATTAACCCTTGGTGACTGCTTTGTTCATTCACAGTGTACTGTGGAAAGGTCTGGACTTACTTTAATTAACACAACGTTGTCTTGCTTTATGGTTATTCCGATGGAGAAGGAATGGGGTTTTGACATTTAGGGGAGAGGGTTTATGTGAATTTTTATATTTTGATATCCCAATAAAGAATTTTAGAATTTTTCCTAACCATTTTCCCCCCTCTTGTGTCTACATGTTGGATTAATTAGCAGGTACATGCCTTGCTGGGTGCTATATACCGCTGTCCCTGGGGAGCTTTCCTAGAGGCTTTTTTCATGATTGTTTTACCCCCCACAGCTTTTTTCCAGATGAGCAGGCACCTGCTTTTATCATAAGTGTTTCCACAGTAACAGTTTTCAATTTTTCTGATTGCTTATTGAGCTGTCTGTCCAGAGAAATCTTTTTTGAACATTTAGAGCACATTGGTTACTCTTCCTATTTGCCAAAATTGTAAGCAAAATACAGTGCTATAAAACCTTACAAAGCCTTGTGTCTCTTCTTTGGCTTCGTTATTATTGGTATTGATACAGCTGCCCTACTAGTAGTTCACTTGCTGGTTTAGCACTTTATTATTAGACTGTCATGTTATTATTGCTTACCCTACTCTTTTTCTACTAGGACAAGATAAACGGATACCGCTGCATTTGCCCTCGTGGCTTTGTTGGGAAGAACTGTGAGATAGAATTAAATGAATGCGCCAGCAACCCATGTCAGAACGGAGGCGTGTGTGACGATCTGGTCAATGGTTTCCACTGCCGCTGTCCTCCTGGCTATGCTGGCACCACATGTGAGGTGAGAGCTGCTCCTGAATGTCTGATCTGCGATATCTTTCATGTGTTGTGGAAATCTATCTCTGGATTAAACTAGAGCAAGCCAAGGCCTGCCGCATTATATATTAATGGATCTGCTACTTGATATGCTGTGTGAATAAGCAAATTTGTTCGGTTGTATCTAACCAGTGTTGGACATTGAAAGTGACAATGTCTATTCTCTTGGCTTATTTTCTTGTTCCCTTATAGATATGGGCAAAATGAAGAGGGATATATATGGTGCAGCCTGTCACTATCATTAATCCAACCCCCGTGACGTAGTTATTACCTTTTCATCCTGGCGGTAGATGTATAGGGTAACAGTGTGGTTTGTTCTTCAGTGAAATCTTGCAGCTGCATTGTCTCCCTATGTACAGAGGAGCCTAGTATGGACATTATTTATAATACAGGATTTATATAGCGCCGACAGTTTGTTCAGTGCTTTACAATATAAAGGGAGACAATACAGCAACAATACAGTTCAATACAAGAGGGATAGGAGGGCCTGATCCTGGGAGCTTACAATCTAAGAGATGGAGTTTTAATTGGAGTTCTAGTAAAAGACAATTTAAATATCAATTACAGCGCTTATGGTGTAAGCAATTTTTTTTGGGGGAAAAAGGTTTAAACCATATTGGGTGGGGGGGACATTTTGTAGGCCCTTCCTCCGTGTAATATGGTTTGTCCTGACTCTATGCCTGAACATTTGCTGGACAGGCAAAAAATAACCTACTGGTAGAATTAACAGGTGTTTGTATTACAGTGATTTGTAAAAGTCAATTATATTATTTATTTATTTTTTAAATACACATAATAGTCTTAATTGCAGCCCTAGTCCTCTTCCCTTCCCCCCCCCCCACTTCCTATTGTGGCACACCTGTGGGCTCGATCCAAAGCCACGCTGCCTTGGTCTATAGACAGGCAGTTTGGCTCGACCCTGCCCTCACTCTCTCATCACAAGATTTGACTGACATCTGATGCCTCCTGCTGCCTCAGCAAAGTCTGTGAGAGCGGGGAGAGCCACTGCAGACAGGCACGGCACTGAATCGAGTGAGGGCTCAAGTACGTATACCTGGGGGAGAGGGGGCAATACTACCTAAACATTTTTTAGTTTGATGCAGAGAATGCATTAGGGTAAAAAATGTTTTTATGCTTTAGAACTATTTTAATACTAGTCAGACTGCACCATATTTTATATCTGCTTCTGTGTTAATGATATTTACAAGACTATCTTATGTTATGTTTGTGTATAGTTAAAAAAACTGGTAATTTTTAGTTCATTGCAGAATGTGCACTGTAAAGTAGAAATGATTTCCGTAAACAAAAAAAAAAAAAAAAACAACGCTTCAACAGTACTAAATCCCTCTTAACTTGCCCTAATCTGATTTTCAGGTTTCCCATAATCCCCTGCAGCTATATTGAGCAGCGTTTTTGTAAAGCCTCCGGGCAGAACTGCAAACTCTCCCCAGTCAGAATCAATGCTGCATCTTAAATTTTAAATGTAAATGGTAATTCGTCAAGTAGAGAAGTTATACAACACATGCCTTAGGATATGCACACAATATGAGATCTGGTTATTTGTTTAGTAGAGATAAATTGAGTGGACTCTAAAGTAGGGTCTCCAAACTTTCTAATAAAGGACCTGTTTACTGTCCTTCAGACTTTGGGGGTGGCAAATTTTGGCCAATGGGAAGTATAAAATGTCCTGGCATCAGTGGAAGTAAACCATGCCTCAAGCTTTGTGATCATTGGGGGTATCTCTGATGGTCAGATGGAAGAGGGATAGTACCCCATCATTGGTATTAGTTGAAGAAACAGTATGCCATCTTTGGTATCTAGGGGAGGGATAGTGCCCCATCATTGGTGGTGTTGGCAGGAATTATGCCCCACTGCTGGTGTCCAGTGGATGGAATAGTGCGGCAAGGATGAGGATAGCACAGTTGCAGTTTTGCTAGGTGGCATTGGTAATTCATTGATTGCATTCCATTCTTGATAGATCTTTTTCTTTAAAGTTGAACTCTAGACAAACCAATAAATGCACAGATGAAATGTATAACATTAAGCTGTCTTACCTGCCAAAGATTTGTATTTCTGTTCATCCAGTTATGAGATTTGCACAGTCTTGTGTTGGGTCAGAAGACCTAATTTTTTTTTTGCTGCATGCACTTAACACTTCCAGGTCTTGACCCTCCAGTTTTTGACTGGACAGTAGGCGGCACAGTGGCTAAATGGTTAGCACTTCTGCCTGGCAGTACTAGGGTAATTAATTTGGTTCCCAACCACGGCACCACCTGACTAGAATTTGCATGTTCTCCCTGTGCAGGCGTGAGTTTCCTCCAGGTACTCTGGTTTCCTTCCACCCTCCAAAGGTAAGTTAATTGGCTCCTGTCTAAATTGGCCCTAGTATGTGTATGTATGAATGTGAGTTAGGGATTTTAGATTGTACGCTCCCTGAGGGCAGGGACTGATGAGAATGTAGATCTTCAAAAGCAGAGTTTACTACCTCTGTTGCTCTGCCTTCTTTTTCTTTTGCCCCTTTATTGTTCCTCCTGTTCCAGGCATGAGCTCTGCTGTATAGGGCATTGCATTGCTGGGAAGCCCAGTTGTCCCAGGAATACACTATATGCAAAGAGCTCTAGTCTGAATGCTGGTAAAGTCCATGTGATGGTCTTTATTGGCAGCCAAAGTTCTCGCATTGAATTCTCAAATGAATCTCCATGGGTAAATGTTGGCTGAGCATGTTAAGAGCACTTTATGTGAAGATCGTGGACCTCTCCAGGCACACAGGAAATGTATTTAAAGGTGAAGTACAGCCAAAGCTGTACTTCTCTTGTGGATCACTGGAGTGCAGTTCATTCTGCACTGCTGTGACCGTCTCAGCTGACAGCCGTCTGAAGCCCACTGTCGGCTGACTTCACTCAGCTGGTCCAGGCTGGGGAATGGTCCTGACTTTAAACTTGGGATCCACTCCAGAGTCTGGAGTGGCACCTGGCTCGGCCTCTCAATGAGCCACTGAGAGCCAGAGCCATCCGATCCCTCCACAGCCCAGCGCTCCAGTGAGTGCAGGGGGAACGAGCAGACATCGGTGACTGACAGTCCCGCTCTCTGCTCAAAGTGGCTGTGAGTGATCAGCGATCATGTGATTGCTGAGTTCTCACACTTGCGGCCAGCTGGGGACAGATGCAGCATTGAACCAATGCTGCATCCACGTAGGTCAGTATAATGGGGGGGGGGGGAATCGCATACCTCATTTAAGCTAAACCTGTTTTTTGGATGGATTGGGAAAGGTGTAGGTCCTTTGCCAGTTTTTACTGCCCTCCATGGCTCCATTGTGTGGACTCTCTCACTTGCTGCCCCAGTGACGTTGCTATGTGTATTGAACCTGCAGTCACAATCTTTAAAGTGACTAGCAGAGGATATGCAGCCAATTATGAGCTATTGTATCAGGAGACTGTGCCTGACAGCCACACATAATCTTGTGGAAGCCTTGTCCTTTGGCTGTTTTTCATGGTTTTCTGTCCTTTTTTTATTGTAGAAGATCAAGGAGCCAGTTTCAAGTATTTGAATTGCAGGAAGCATGGGAACTCTTGTCTATATCCTTGGTACATACTATTAAACTTGAACTGGAAAGGGAAATTTATACTAGCAGAGGAAACATATGAATGTCGCTGATAGGGGGACTTCTAAAGAAAAAGTCTGCCTTTTCTCACCAGCGTTAAGGCTGAGAGCTGAGCACTGAAGAATGAGACAATCCTTTTGCTGTCCTTGAGCTCTGAACTGTTTGTGCTCTCAACTTCAGTGGGACGTGCTTGTACAAATAAAGCATTCCTCCCTGGGCATTATTAAATCTTTGGATCCTGAATCATGTTGCTGCAAATTTTGGTTTGTTGAAAGAATTTTTTTTTTATTTGCCACTCCCTGCATGAAAAATGAGTGCTTTAGAACTGGGTAATCCTTAATATGACACTAGCTGTGTAACAGAACCTGTAAAGAATATCCCAAAAGGAAATAAAATCTTAGAATGTGCTGGTGGATGGTGAATTCTAGTCGGTTCTAAAGCAATATAAACTGCATTTTAATCTTATGTTTATATTCTAAAACTTACATGTAAGCAACCTGTATTTTTGCATGTCGGTAGCATAGGTACCCAATTCTATCCGGATACCAGCTGCATGTGATCCTCATTCAGCAGCACTCTATTTTTCTAAGCATGCATCATATATATTGACCCTCCCTTTCCTAGCTAAAGCATAGTGATGACTTCAGGGTTCTACTTATCTTCCACTGTCTAAAGGCATAATGGGGTAGGCCCTAGACACCAGGGTATATTGCTTAAAGGATTTGATCACCTTTTGACCAAAAATAAATGCACATTTTTTGCAGGTTAAAAAAAATGCATTTATTATTTTGGTTGCAGGAGTCTATTAAAGCATTGCACTGGCAATCTGCAGATACGGGCAAGCAGATATACTGACAGGAAGAATCCATGAACTACCATGGCGGTTTATTGAGAACTACAAGTGAATGTCAGACTTGTAGTTCATTCTTTCACAGAACACTGTGAACACAGAGCCTCTCACAGCCGTGCTGTTTTCTATAAGTGACAGCTAGTACAGAGAATGTATCCCCATGCGGGTGGCGGGGGGTGCAACAGCTGCATTGGGAACATGTTACATATTCCACCCTGAAGAAGGTGAACTTATCCTTTTTAAAGTGTGACCTCACCTTTTCATTTTTTCTGATAAAGTGAACAAAACACCCTCTCCCCTCCCTCCAGTCCTTGCTGTACTTGCCTCTTGGTGGGTGCTGAGCTGTCAGGGCCCATGCAGCTGGTGTAGCTTAGCTGTCTGGGAAATGTAAAATCGCAACGCTTCCCCTCCTTTCTGCAGGGCCCCTGGGATGGATCAGAAGCAAGAAGGGGGGGTGAACAGTTGGGATTTTACATTCCCAGACCAATACATGGACTTTGTGGGTACTGACAGC